AAACAAAGGCCTCACTATCGCTTGGGCGAACGCAGGCCGGGGACACGCGAATCATATCACACTACTACAATTAGCAGCGGAGGCTCAATTAGATGTGATCTGTATACAGGAGCCAAGACTATACTGGAATTCAACAACACAAAATCACAACGCATACGATCGATATCAGCCGACCGACAACTGGAACCTCCGAGGAGACTTGGAGGAGAACGAGCAAGGCCCTAGGGTCATGACATATATACGAAAAAGCGCGAACCTGAAAGTAGAGCAAATGAGTCGACTCGGAAACAGAGACCTACTCTGGATACGAGTCAATGGATACTCGATCCTGAATGTCTATAGAGCTCCGTGCACTTTGGATATTATTAATTACATTACACACCTGGTTCCAAATGAGCGTACAGTCGTAGGAGGGGACTTTAATGCAAAGCACGATCTGTGGGAACCGGGGGTGATCACAGCCAACCAGGGGGCACAGCTCGCAACATGGGCAGACGAGCAGGGCATGGAGTTTATAGGTACTCCAGGCATACCCACTCACGCAAGAGGGCACGTGATAGACCTGACCTTCTCCAACATACCGTTCGCTTATACAGAGGTACTGGAAGAACTCCATTGTGGATCTGATCATGCTACCCAGGTCACTACTCTGACGAATCGTGGAACAACAGAGTGGGATCAGTATCGCTATCGGATAAAGGAAGTGGATCTGCCTAGATTAGATGGACTAATGGCCAACCAGCTAGCTCACCTCAATGATGTAGACATTCAGACTACAACTGAGATTGAAACCCACGTCAGTGAGCTGGCGAATGCGTTAGAAAAAGCGATCCGAGCAATCGGCAAGATTGATCGGAAGGTAGGAAAAGCCTCGCCGTGGTGGACGGACGAGTGCAGAGAAGCCCACCGAGCACACATAGAAGCACGGAGGGGATCAGACCCGGAAAGGAAGACTAATGCTACTCATCTCTTACAAAAGGTAGTGCGACAAGCCAAGAGATCCTACTGGGCAATGCGTCTCGACGGAGTCAAAGACGACAAAGAACTCTATCGGGTTATGGGATGGCACAAATTAACCCCCGAAAGTAATGCGAAATCCCCCTCCCTAATAATCGGCGAGCGGGTGATCTGTGATACAAAAGAGAAGGCAGATGCTTTATTCACAGCGGTTCTGGATCGTTTCAGGGCAGACGACGACCTACCAAACGATCCGCTGCTCAATCAAGCACACAAAGGGATACTCCCCTGGAAAAGAACGATCTCTGCAGAAGAAGTGGAAAAACATGTCATAGGAGCTACTTGCACTGCGCCTGGAGTGGATCGAGCCACTGTGCGCATCCTCAAGGCATGCTGGCCGAGCGTCAAATCACTGATCCGGGAGATATTTGCATCTTGCCTAGCTCTAAACTACTATCCAGAAGGTTGGAAGCTAGCGGAAGTAGTAATGATCCCTAAGGTGGGCAAGAAAGACAAAACGTCACCGCGGTCGTGGCGACCGATAGCCCTGATCTCCTGTATCGGTAAGGGGCTCGAACGGTATATAGCTAGTCAAATATCCTGGACAGCCCTGAGACACAAGGTAATCAGCCCGCAGCACTGCGGAGCGCTCCCCAGAAGATCAGGTACTGATCTAACGGCGGCTTTCACTCACGATGCGGAGCTTTCATTAGCAACGGGTAATGTGGTCTCGATTGTTACAATGGATGTTCAAGGAGCTTTTGACGCTCTCCTAAAGCGCCGACTCCTGAGCCGAATGATCAAGCAAGGATGGCCAACTCCGCTGCTCAAACTAATAGACTCGTTCCTTACAAATAGGAAAGTCAGAGTAAGACTCGAAGGCATCACAACAGAGGAATACCCAGTAGCATGTGGTACTCCTCAGGGGTCCCCCCTATCACCTATACTCTATATGCTATATCTCGCTGAGCTCCTCAACCGAGATACCAAATATCGCTTTGGCTACGCTGACGATATTGCGATCTATCACTCCTCCAAGCATCTCTCCACGAATGCCAGGATCCTTCAACGACGCGTTCGACAGATCATCCGATGGGGTAAGGAGAACAAAATCCTATTCGCCTCAGAGAAATTCGAGCTACTCCATATAACCAGACGACACGATACCACCAACCCACCACTAGTCGTTAACCCGGATCTGATAATCACTCCAGTACCGATTGTAACGAGTGGAAGCACTCAACCCACTCTAAGATGGCTTGGTGTCTTCTTCGATCGTCGGCTCTCGTTTCTACAACATGTCAAAACACGCACAGCGAAAGCCATGAAAGTAGCCTCGCACATCAGGTCGATCGCCCGCACTCTGCATGGGCCACCAGCTTCCTACTTGAGAAAAGCAGTGATCACCTGCGTCCTTCCAGTAGCACTATTCGGCACTGAAGTATGGTACGCTGGCAAACTCAAACCGAGCCTCGGTCAAAGCGAAGCAAGCACAGGCACAGGTATCAAAGGCCATCTCCGCTACATCAACAAAGTGATCAATACCGCCGCAAGAGGAGCGATCCCGGTATACAAAACTACACCGACCGCAGCTCTTATCAAAGAAGCCGGCCTGCCATCGGGGATAGTCGCATTAGAACACGCCAAGCTGCGATTCGCACTCCGCTTAAAAACGGTCGACAATCAGCACCTGCTAGTGAGCCGCCTGAAACCCACAGTACGAAAGCGCGGGCGAGGAGCAGGCACAGCTAGAAGGCCCCTTACAAGAATCCAACGGCTCGGCCTCCTCATCCCAGAGACCCAACGGCCGAAGTTACTTCGCCCGCACTTCTCGATAGGCTGCAGAACGGATCCGACGGAAGGGCTAACCAAAGATGAAGCAGCTCAAGCCTTCAAAGAGTGGTGGCTGCAACTCCCACCTGAGGACTACACGATCTTCTCCGACGGATCAGAACAAACCATTGATCGTAAACACTGTGTCGGATACGGATATGTAATATATCACAATGGCACTCAATTAGCCTCCGGATCCAAGCAGATCTGGAGCGACTCACATGTGTTCGATGCAGAAGCGATCGGAGCGTGGCGAGGGCTGGAGCACCTGATCAGCACGTTTAAAGATCCCCCGAGTGGCCGGATCTGGATGTGTATTGACAGTACATCGGTCATCTGGGGTGTTCGCGGAAACGCGCCGCCCACAACGCAATGGGCCTTCCATAAGTGCCATAAGGCAATGAAACAACTTGACATTAGAGTGAAGTGGTCACCTGGTCACATGGAGATCGAAGGGAATGAGGAAGCAGACCGCCTAGCAAACGCAGGCGCAATTGGACCCATGGACCAGGCGATCGACAAGCTACCAACAATTAGCGGTGTCCGGACGATCGTTCGCCAAAAGCGCCTACGCGCAGAGACTGAGTGGTGGGAAGAGATGAATCCCTCTCTCTCTGCTAATTATAAAGAATGGTCTCCCAAGTACAACACAAAGGAGCCGAAGGAACTAACTCTGCCAAGAGCAGTCCTTCACCGACTACTAGCTATGAAAACAGGTCATGGCGACTACGCCGCTTACCATCAGCGATTTGGTCATCAAAACAACAAGCTGGACTGCTCATGCGGCAGCGCTAAGGAACCATATCACTTCTTTAAATGCACTATAAACAACCTAAAACGTTCAGACTGGCCCCTGGCCCCTGTAGAAATACAATCTAACAAACAGGCGATCACATATATCAAGAAACTCTTACACACACCTAGCAAGCTCACTCAGCTGATTACCGACTCAGAGTTCTACACTCAGATCTGTCCTAACTACTAAAGGACCCTTAGAAAGCGACCATCTTTTCAACAAAGCCCGCCGCCCCTTTTATAAACTTACCACTCAACTGATCACTCGAATATACCACACCCCTAAAAACCGCAAACCCAATATACAATATAAGAGCCTTGCCGCTCGGCTAAACAAATAGCAACCCACTCCCACTTCTTCTCCTTCACCATAGGGATCGGAGCCCACAACGAGCCTATCCACCCGGGAACCAAGCTCTACCCTAACAAGAACCCGGATCAGACGTACCCTTCTGGAAACAGAAGTGGATCGCACCTGCAGAGGAGCGAACAGCCCCTGGCATTGAAGTTAAATTGCTAAATTCGGTTGCGACGATCACGCCGCTCAAATAGTCCCTTATCTTAGCACGTCTAAATACCCTTAGGGAGGTTCAAGACAGACGTTAATTAATATAAATAAATAAAATAAATAAATATATAAATTTAGGATATTCTTTAAAGAAAATCTAGAAAATGTAAACAAACTCAAAATTATTTAAGCTCTTTCTTATAATTTAATTTCAATTTAATTCTTATATTATATATTCGATTTATTCCTTAAGTTAAAGTAACTAAGTCTTTTAATAATATTAAATAGAATATAAATATTATTATTTTTATTTTAAAAACTAATTTTCAAGAATAACAAAATAAATCTTACTTTTTTATTCCGTTAACTTTCGATAAACTATTAATATAAAAAGGAGAATAACTATATCATTTCAGAATCTCATTCAAAAGCCAGAATATTACCTTCAAAGGTACTATCTTTCATTTTAGCTAGCCAGACCATATCTATGAAATGTTAATGAATGAAGGGTTAACTCTCTTGGAATCTTAACTTACCTATGACTTGGTGAGGGTATGGCTTGAGGTTCGTGCCCTTGATGACAATGTTGGATCTCTTTAATCCATCCCGTTAGCTTTACAAGAGTCAACAAATGGCTTCGGAATGGCACCCGCAGACGACACGACACGTTCTCCAAAAGATCAAAGAAATCTCTCTTGCTATTGATCATTTGTTCTTTTTACAATTTGAGAGTTCCTCAGCAGATTCTAGGACCTCCTGAGACTCCGTAGATTCTTTGAACATGGATACTTGATCACAGTTGTCCTTTTCTGGTCATTGAACCACTTTCGCTGCCGTGGTAAAGTATTTTGAGTGGCCAGCCAAGATTTCTAGCCAAGTAATCAACTACTCTAGTCTAATAAGCGGCCTAGTGATTTTTCTTGCCCTCAATGATTCTCTGATTTCCTTCCTTTTGGATGTTGCCTGATTTGTTCAGCTGAGCGTGAAACTCATCAGTTTCTCTTACATTTTCCTCTTCAATTTCCTCGGCAGTCTTATTGATTATTGATATGCTTCCATCGTTCTCCATGTCGGATAAGTCATTATACTCGTCTTGTTTGAAACGAGCATATGATGTACTTTCATTGATAGTCTTATCAATCGATGCAACCTCGCTATCCATAGAAAATGGAGCGATAGCTTCTTTCTGAGGAAGGCTCTTGGTTCTGGAGCCGTTAAGTTTCCTGTGCGACAGCCGATAAAACCTAAGTGTTGATGATGGCCTGAACCAATTCTCCCTAGAATGAAGTTTCTTCGCTGACTTTGGAGTGTCTTGTAGGAAATGATCGAGATACGTAGTGATGATCAAATGCATGTCATGAAGGTTGTAAAGATACCCCGGATCATCAACGTTTTGCTTCAATCCTAACGTTTCGTGCGTAATAGGAAATCTATCGCCGGTGACAAAACTAATCAATCTTGGGTTGAGACTGCTGATGTATTTAAAGATGTTGCTTGTACTGAAATCCTTCTCGGACGGTTTGATAGGATTCTTCACAAGGCATCCGAAGGCGGTTTGCTTTGCTGTATGCCACGGAGTTAAAATTCTCGGAAGGTGTTGAGGGTCCTCTATCCACTTCGCTAACACAACCTTATCCTGGAATCCTAGATAGCCTGCAACGTAGACAGCATTCTCTAGCTTGAAATTGACAACAAGAACGCCCTCGGGGTTTTTTTTTCTCTGCTTCTTGAATAAGTCGGGTCAAATCCGCCATGGCCATGTTCTGCTTCTTGGTTGGTTCGCAGTAATGAATTGAAGATCTTGAATTTACTTTGCTTTTAATATCGCAGAACTGTGCAATACAATCTTGGTGGACCTCTACTTCGAGTGGAAAATGAAACAGAGTAGAGAAGCTTGAAGTTTTTGGTCGAGGCCCTGAAGTTTGGCTGGCATTGTTGTTGCTGTAAAGGTTTAGAAAGTTTGAGAAAAAGTTTAGAGAAAGACGAAGAGGTATAATCGTCGTCTGCGGGTAAGGAAAATTTCTGTTAAGAAGAAGATGTGAATGGAAAGTGAATATCTTCATGATTAGGACGTGTCGATGCTATCGTGACGCGTGACCGACCTCGCTAAGCTCTGCCGTTCCACTCGTGTATTTCTCATATCCAAATCTTCTTCAACTTTCTGATTTCCTTTTTTTTCTTCTATAATACAACTTAATTTCTTTTCTTATTCTCATCGATCAGCCCAGGTTATCTACTCAGTTGTGGCGAGGCGTGAGTCTATCAATTATCCCTTCCGGAAAATATACTGATATCCGCACTGGTTACTTTCAGTCGATGAAAGCTTGGCATGTTCGTGACGAGGCCATGTTCGCTCAAATTGCCCATACTAACTCTGGTTACAAAGCCAAAAAGCTCGGCAATGAGATAAAAGGTCTGGATGTATCGAAGTGGAATGAAGTCTCGTCAGCGGTCATGCGAAATACTCTATATCTAAAGTAGCGAAATAATCCGCCAGCCAGACAAGATCATATAGCTACCGAAAACAAATGTTTGGTAAAAGCACGGGAAGAAACGGTTTGGGGTACTGGATTGAAATCATTCGCTCTTGCAACATTCACACCAATATCAAACCCTATAGTGGCAGAATCAATGCTTAACGAAGTGGACTTTTTGTCATTGTTATAAATTCTTCAATTCTTTAATTATATATTTAATAAATCGTTTTTAAAGTATTAATATAATTAATCTAAATCTCTATAGTTTATGAAGCTTATTTTAATCAATAGGGTCTTAGTGAATTTCTTGAATTTCGAAAGCTAATTCTAACTTTTAATTTAAGGTAATCATTTTCAAATAAAAAGATCTATTTATATCAAAATCAAACTATATTATTTATTTAGTATATTCTATGTTGTATGGTATAATAATAAAGCTTTTAATTGAAGAATAAATCGAAGGTGAAGTGATACGATTAATGAACAGATTCCCCTTTAGACTTTCGGCTAATGCCTTTCATTCATTCTAATCTTTATGCTTACTCCCCTCTTTTTTTTTAGTTCTTATTTATCTCTATAACCTTTTCTTAGCCTTTATATATATACTCTTTCGTTCACCTTTCCTACGACCTATATTTGAAGATCTTGAAATCTTGAAGGCCTTTGAGGGCTCTTATTTTCTTTTTTTCTATCAAAATTTAATAATAAATGGGTTGCATTTTGTGTCGATAATATTCGTTATTAATGAAATCAGCGTTTTGTTGATAACAAAAAGAAATTAATATTATTATATATATAATAGAAATTTGTATGGGGATTTATATTGAATTTCTCTTCGTCCGTAATATTAACTTTGCCACCACAGGGAAAGTGGCTGGGCGATAACAAACTAAGAGAGGAGCTTATGAGAGCTCGCGGATATCTCAAAGGACTCATGGAAAAAGAGAATAAAGAAATGGGTAAGTTCATGGTTTCCTTGCTTTAGCAAAGCAGAGAAAAGGCTAACTTTAATGCATAGAAATTTCGCACTTGCCTCTCCTCTCCCCACCCCCAAGTTCTTCCATCCAAAGCACCCGATAAACTTCAGCGGGACCTTCACGAGTACAAGAGGGAGAAGATATCATGGATGTCGACGGCACTATTCTACCTTCGATACCACTTCAAATGCGTCCCGACATTGGTCTAATAGATGAAAATACATTTGTGCCACTTTCTCCCCTCCAAGGCGGCGACATGGACATCTAAATGAATTCACAAATGGGTTTTAAAGCCGCTGATGTTGCCGATAAAGTAAAAACCATTCAATACGTCGCTACTACTACTCTTGTCGAAAATGAGATCGCTATAGAGGAGATTAAGGTCGAGCAAGCCGCCCAAGATCTGACCACCCCAGAAAAACATGCCGTCACTCTCGCCCTCGCTCGTCAGATCGATGAGGATAACGATGATCTTGACAAAGCCGCAAAAGAGAGGAAGAAGTAGCGGAGTTAGCAGGTATCGAAAAGGCTGCAGCTGCAAAGAAAGCTGCTCTAGAGGAGCTCATAGCTGCCGGAATTATAGGTAGCCTCATTGAAGATGAGCCAAGAATGGTGCTAAATCCTTACTACAAGGGCTCGGACTACGACCCTGACGAGGTTCGCGTCAAACTTCGATGGGTAATGCGATTGTTGAACCAGCTTTCGGCTCTCGACGTCAGTCGTGAAGATTGGGCCAAGGAGAACGGAGATGGAATTTTGTCAGATGAGGACAAATTCGGGTCAGCATGGAACACGTCGAAAACAATTTTGATGATTCATATTTCGGATCGTCGTTATTTCGGCCCCACCGGAGTTGATACAGAGTATCCTATTCTTATCGCCAAAACCAAGGAAGAATTCGAGGAATACTTTAAGTATTTGGTTGCTATTGAAACAATCATCAAGGCAAAGGATGGGGAGTATCCCGACGAGCTCGACTAAAAGGTCGGAAAGTTTGCGACAAAAGATTGGAAGAGCACTTTGGTGATTTTACAAATGCGTAGGCGTTCATTATTGGCTGGAACTGAACATGAATGTGATGATAAATCCATGCTTGAGTTGGAGGAGTTTGCACTTAGACTTCCCCCCGAAGAAGCATTGGCAATGAAGAATGCGCCTGATTCTGATGAGGAGAGTGAGGGGGATGTCATGGCAGATTTGGAAGATGAGCATGACAACATTTTTAGAATCGGTGAGAAGGTGAATGATAGAGGTAAATGAATCTGTGGTTACCGTGGATGATGCTTTGGTAAGTTGTCAATTTTGGTATCATATTTTCATTAATCGTTGCTTAATATAATAATAATAGGTGGGTTGGCATTAAATCGACCACTCTACTTTCGGGCCACCTTTGTTTTGGGCCACCCTTTTACATTAAAAATCGCTTTTTTGGTTTATCAATATCTCTATCAATATATAATCTAATTTAATAAAAATTTAAGTATATATAGTTTAAGCTATTTTAGGCTTATTCTGAAATTTTTAGATTTTTAGGATTTTTCTGTATTGAGATTTAGAGCTTCAAAATATCGATTTTTTAATTTGTATGGGAATTATATATAAATTTAAAACTTTTATAAAATCTTTAGTAACTTTTTAATAATAATTATTAAAAGAAAACTATATATCTTTTTGAAAGTTTTGAACTTAAATTTATATAGAAATTTAAAAAAAAATTAATAAAAAATTAATAAATATAGAGATATAGTATATAATAAGTTTAGAGTAGTTTAATAATCCCTGTAATTTTGAGGATATTCTTTTAAATATTTATTTATAAGAAGTTTTCTATTTTTTTTTATCTTTTAAAGTAAATATATTATAAACTTATAATAAAACTTTTTAGTTTATTTTTAGTAATTTTTATTAAAAAGTTATTAAAGATTTTGTAAAAGTTTTAAATTTGTATATGATTCCTATACAAATTTAAAAATCGCTATTTTGAAGCTCTAGATCTCAATACAGAAAAATCCTAAAAATTTAAAAATTTCAGATTAGATTCAAAACGATCTGAATTATATATATATATATATTTTCAATAAATTCTATCTATAAATAAGAAAGTTAAAAATTCCATTTTTGGTGTGAAAAGTGGCCCAAAAGGGGGGTGGCCCGAAAGTAGGGTACTTGACTTATGGTATGAAAGATGATGGGAGTACACGAATTCTTCATGGGGATATTGATGATGCACATATGACATTCTTACTTCTTTCATGGCAGCGGTAAGTTCAGTCATCATTTGATGTCTTGACACGTTAGTATTTCCCAAGTTTTTTTCTGTGGTTTAGAGATGTTCCTTACTTCAACATGAGGGTCACATATGGGTTTATAAATAATTCCTCGAAAGCGCTGCTCTCTCAACATGAGTATGCTATATCAGTTTATAATGAAAGCGAGATTTACCTCAATTTTGACTTTGATTGTGATATTAAAAGAGGATGATTCATGAACTTCTTTTTTCCCTAAAATTGACTTTTACGATGTTTACGAAGAACTCAACTCAACTAAGCCCATCCCAATCTCCCCTCCTGTTCTCTCATTCCTCCCAACTGAGATTCTGACATTCTACTCCCCATACATGATGATGATACAAGCATTCAGGAGCATATCTAGGATCCCATTCCGCGATATTCAATAACCCCTTCCCATTCGTGAGATTAGCGACATCAATCAAAAGCCCATCGCACTGCTTCGCTAACTCTACTAAAACTTCCTTGTTGTATATAGAAGTTGAAGGGAGCTTTGTATTAACATGCATCATAGCAGCATAGCACAATGCAAGAAACTTTCTCCCCGCAGAATTCTCCTTGGTATAATTATACCCAAGTTCAATGTGTCTTGGCTCTGGGAAAAACTGCTTATCGGATCGGTACGTAGCCATAATGCGATTCATGATGATATCCTCGAAATCTAGGGCTTTATTCTTGTTGGCAAAGAGGTATAGATGCCATAATGTATCGAGTGAAATCCCAGGAAACATTTTTCAATGATAGGCAAATTGAAGAAGGCGGACGAAGACCGAGCATGAGATGGGCTGGTATACATCAAACCACCCTAACGATAGACCTGTATCAACCAATCTAGAGATTCGAAGACGACGGAAGATACGAGGTTGAAGAGTAATGAGGTCGGCGTGAACTAGAAATTTTTGTTCACGAGTGCCGCGGTGATTGTGATCATTTGCTTTCCGAGTCTGATAAGGTTAGTTAGCATGATTTGATATATGATCAAGGATAATAGAATACTTACTTGAGAGGAGAGTTCTTTTGCCAATCAAAAAACTTGCCCTTTGTGACAGCTGGGGGAGTTGAGATTTGTCCAGTAGAAGTCATGTTTTATTGAACAGAGAATCATACGTAGATTGAACCATGTTTTCTGATTGTGTATGGTCGAGGAATGGTAGACAGATGTCAATGTTAATAGACGTTTTCGTTGACTAAACACCAGTTGACCTGCTTGATGGGTATTTTGTCCACGAAAAACTTTCGAGAATGAGAACAAAGTAAGTTACTATTGGGAGGAAACGATGACTATATACCTATGAGCAGATGTTACGATTCTGAACATACAACACAGCCAAATAGATAAGTCAGATTCAATACATCGAGATCATGGGAAAAACTGTCAAATCCAACCATATTATTGTGAGAAGTGCACGTTAGGTCCCATAATAACGATTACTATCAACTAGCGTGGACTAGCGTACACTAATACGGCTCTCTATCTACATATAAAGTCAATGCTCGATCTACCGTTGACAAGTGAGACAAGACCGTATTTTGTCTCCTCACACGCGCATGAAGGCAAATTGAAAAATGTATGATTAGTAAGGTCTCTCTATTCTTCGCAGAAACCCACCTAAGTTGTTTACAGTATACCGTATCTAGTTGCACTCGAAAGTTGCGCTCGAGAATTGCGCTCGAGAATTGTATCCAAAATATCTGCCGTATATGTTGCATGTTTACTTTAGAGCAACTATCCAGTTTACACAGCAAAAACGTTTTTACAAATTGAATCATGAGTACAAAACGTAGACTTTAAGATATATAGAAGGCACCGAAAGAGATCTTCGTGAAACATGAAATTCCATTGATTTAATTCGATATTCTTTGCTCAGACTTGATCATCTGGGAAGATATTCATAATGATCCATTTGTCCAACTCCCGCAGCTTTCAATTATCCTGTACATTCTGAAAATTGTCAATAGAAAAGGACAGAGTCAATCATGAAGCCCTCATCCATCAAAAAGACTAAGTCCAACCAGAACATCTTCTCCTTCCCTTGATAAACATATCCTAGACAATAAACATGACAACAACTGCAAAAATGAAATTAATCGAAATGAAATAAACAATTAAGGCTTTGGTAGTGGAACAAAAATTATCGACCCCGATAATAGCAAACAAATCACTCCTATGTATGAAAAATCATGAGATTCTTACATGATTGCATAGAAGCAAAGTTGGGATGGCTCCTCCTCTAGAAATTACATTCTAGATATTCAGTGGGTTTCAAATCGACGCTCATAGCAGCACCCATTGATCATTCATTCTCTTCTGTCAATCCCTCGAGTAAGGTATTTATTAATGACTTCTTCTCCACATCGGTCCATGAAGTTCTGTTGATTCGGATTTGAGTCATGGCGTAATCGAACGCGGCGCGCTGTGTAGGATTATCTTCTCCCTCTTCCCCTTCTTCCTCCTCCTCTTCCTCCTCCTCGCTATATTCATCTGAATCCGAATCCGAATCTGACTCTGACTGACTCCATGACATGAATCCCTTAAAGGTAGCAGGTTTCAATGGCTCCTTTTCCAATAATCGAATTTCTCTTCTCTTCACCGGGTTCGGTCGCCAATAAAAGCCAGGATCTGATGTGTCAATATAAGCATCAAACCCGTACCCAAAGAAGTAACTTTTCATGTCCACATTCCTAAGGTCTTCATCTGGATGTGGTAAAGGAAATGATGAGCCTTCAACATGTGTAATGAAATTTTGAAGGCTCAACATCAAACTCGATGAATCACAACGTTTGCAACCATCTTCACAATAACACTCTGAACTCCAAAATCCTGAGCATGATGTACCCAAAATTCCAGACAGTCTAATCACCTTTAGATGTAATGATTGAGCAAAGAAGTAGAACATTCGAATCCATGAATTACTCTTGAGATGTTCCTTGGACTCTAAGTCTTCCTTGATAAGTTCAATCCTCACATTGTGAAGCTTGAGTGAACGCAAAGAATTTGCGTTAATGAGTAAGAATTCTTGGAAATACTGCTCATTCAAATACAAATTCTTGATTTCAAGAGATTCCAATGACGGAAATATTGTACTTGGGTTAACCAACTGTGAAAAATCTCTCGAATCGTGCCAATATTGGAAATCAGCGGCAGCCTCAGTCGCTTCTCCTAATGAAAGTGACCTGAGGTTTTGCATGCAATTAAGAAGCGCGGGAACATGAGGGATGAGGAATTTGTTGACCAAAAATTGGAAATCCTTCAACTTTTCGAGTTTGTCTATCTCCAGCTTAGAAAACGACTTGAGACTTCGTTCACGTTCGTAGATATTTGATTCGAGTCTGGGTAATTCTACTCCTATTGTTCTCAAGTTGGATACGTTAACAAGTGTTGATTTTAGAAAGTTCCAAAATGTATCAAATGATCCGTTCGTGATAAGGAAGTATTCAGGAATCGGATCGCAGAAGATCGTGTCAATTCGAATAGTGTTGAGACTTGACAGCCGCTTTAGGGCGTCTGCCAACTCATATTGATGATGGAAGTGATAATCGGCATGTTGTGGACTCCAAGAGTCATTTATTCCATCATCGTCAATAAACTGGCCCTTGTATGTGAGCTTTGAAACATGACGTTGAAGGTTAGAATTGTCGGCGATATTCAATAAGTTTTGAAATGATAAAGCTTCGAATTTGAACGATATTTCTTTGAACATACAAGTTGCTGCTGCGTTAGAGAGATCCTTCGAGACAAATCTAAGATTGGAAAGTTCGTGTGGACCAACGTGAGAACAAATCAGACGGAGAATTTCTTGCGGCAATTTCAATTTTTGGCAGTCGATATCCATATTGGACAAATTCTGGGAAGGCAGCAGTGAAGCGGTTTGTAGTTCTTCCTTATTCTTCAACTCTTCCATGCTCTCGATGGCTTTGATTGGGGTTATGGTATTCGGAATTGGGATTCGTCGTCTCTTATTTGCTTCTGGTCCCACCAGGGCTTCAACTACCGACAGTGATGAACGTCTCTTATTCGTCATGGTGTCAATTTAAATTTTGGTGAGCTGCCTGCCATGACGATGTGTAAGCTTTAAGTGTCATCCTACAGTAAAAATAGATAATAGTCACCTCGAGTGGTCTAGGCTAGACGTTTCAACGAAAGCACAAGGATGTGATATGCGAGGCAAGATCGAGTATCATTGGAGAGTATTTTCCTTTCCGCTGATGTCGTTCTTGCGCTACCGTGCTGTTACTTTGACTGACTTTGACGGCTCTAGTTAGATCGATGGCAATCCGCAGAGGTAATTTCTGCAATAGGATGTGGATGGAAAAAGTAATAAGATGTGTCTCAATAAGGGAGAAGATTTGCAAAGAGTTTGAAATTATTTGGTTCGCGATGTTAGGTGGTATTGAGATTGGGGTCCTGAGATTTGTAGGAAGCACTGAATGAAATACTGTGTGGGGAATCTACAAGTCCTAAGAGTGCTAAATTCACTAGAACCAACACTAAAGCATCACGTGTGTATAGTGAATGAACCACTGTGAAAGGAAATGCCGAGCAAAGGTCCAAATCATAATGAATGATAGGCAGCAGAAAATTAGAGCATTTAGTTTCCATTCTTCACTCTTGAAATTGGGAGGATAATGTCATCATGATGTAGGCATTTAGAGAGTCATGAGAAGTGTCACGATAATATTGGAAGGAGCACATTGTGTTACGATGGCTATTGGCAATCTATGAAAGTCCTGATTAGTTGAAGTTACTCTTGCCATTAAGATCTTTGATTAAGCTCTCAACCAACTCTTTCAAATCCCTTCCATCACCATCTCCATCACCTTCTTCTAAATCATCTACCCAACCATTCCATTGCCAGCTCAACTCGAAATCCCCCAATTCCCTGGACAGTTCTGTCGCATTGAATTCTTCAAACTTATGTTTCCAAATGTAATCGAAAAACATTCCCCATCTCTTCAAATAATATCCACGTACAAGACCTCCCCAACTTTTAGAGGCATAATCATTAATGACTCCTGCTGGTCCCCAGATGGTAATTTGATTGATAGCATTGTAGGCGAAGAACTGTTGCGTTTGGGTGATATTTGATATCGAAGAACTGTGAGGTGAACGAAGAGAGGAATTCATAGAAAAGTCCGGTGAAGAAGCAATAGCGGCATTTAGCCAAGTATCTAACCTAAAATGAGGAGAAGTAGATAGAACACTATCCAGACTCTTCAAAATCCCAATCAGAGTCTTACTCGTCTCTTCAAAACCAATCCCCACTGTATATCTCTCGATCAAATCCACATATTCCAATTTGAATCTCTCAGCAAGAACTTCTCTTGTGACATCCACTATATCAAATTTCCACCCATCGTCATCCCATAGTTCTGGAACTATTACCGAAGCATTATACAACAATCTCCATGCTTGAAATAAATCTGCAGGATTGTACAAATCGATTGTCAAGGATTGACCCAATCTTCCATGGTTTTGGGTAACGTTAGGTTGCGTCTCGAATAAAGATCTTGGAAGACTATCTGCAAGAGTCAGATTTGTGTTGTTGTAAGCTGTCGTACGAATAATTTTCCATGCTGAGTATATTTCTGATGGCAATTCCACGCACCCAGAAATATGATATCGTTTCGCCACCCAAGTCTTGAAGTAATTCTCAGTGTCAATGGGGTTAGAATTCCAAGCTTGATCCAGAAGTAATTCATACATCAAACCATTACCATCTTGTCCCTCCATCGTATTTCCCATTCCAACCATCTTATCCGATTTCCGAAATGCTTCAATCGAGGAATTTGTGATATTATGTATCTGACCATACATCCCAGCAGTACCACCATAACCATGTAATTGACACCAAATCCATGATTTTCCATAATATTGATTTGTATTTTCCCACTCCGGAAACGATTCAGAAAAGAGATCAAGTATCAACATGCTCTCATCTTTTGAAACTCCACCAAGATAAGCTTCGACTCTATCTTCTGTCCAAAATGATGAAGAAGCATAGAAAAGCCACCCTTGTAACATCCAAATAGCATTTGAATCGAAAGATTGGAGAGATTCGTATGTTCCACGTGATATGTTGCCTAGAAATAGGAGATCTCCAGATCCCGGGGTATTTTCGTTGAATTGGTCGAGTGTATAGATGGGGGAGACATTTCCATAATATTCAGATTGAAGATTAAGAAATGTATGCTGTAGAGTCGTGAAAAGAGGATCTGTTGGGTAAAGAAATGTATCATTTGAATACTCGACTGGGAAAAGATTTCCCCAATCACTTCCATTAATGATATTTGCATCGGGTGCTACCCTTCTCAATTCTCTTGGCACAAACCCGGTGAAAGCAGGTAAAGCAGGTGTAATGCCTAGTTCTACCATTCTTTGTACAATTTTCTTTTGAAGAAGGTGTTGATCTTCAATCCAAGCAAGTGGAACTGTACCACCCCAAGATCCTTGTATATTACCAAATCGATTCCAAGCTTGAAAGGCAGGACCGGATAAGAATGAAAGTATTTCATCAGTAGTGAGGCCAATAGTAAGGAGTGTAGTAAGTAATGTCTTCTCATAACCTACCCATGCAAGAGAGAGATTGATACCGTGAAGGGACATCCAATCTAATTGTAGTTCCCAATCTTCCCATGTCCAAAAGGCGGCTTGGTATGAGAATGTGACTAGGAATGGTTTGTTAAGGTATGTTCATCACTTAACACACTCATCAGGCGAGATTCGCTCGGAAGGGAATCATTGCACCTACCAGTATTAAAATGATAACGCCATGGTACAATACTTGATCCTTTCAAAGTAGAATTTAGAGTTGGTAAACTTTCGGGAGCAAGATGTAGTTGAGAACCAATATACCACCAAATATCCACGCGCAAGATATCTGTAAAGTATTTTCGTAACCTATCTTACAGATTAGAAAGTCACATACAAATTTGATGTGTATTACGTACCCACTAGCAATACCACTTAGTGAATTGGCTTCAATCAAGATCTTTCCAGCGACAGTTTGAGATACAAAGTATTCATCATTCGTTACTCCCAACGTATGATTACCTTGTATTTGAAAATCAAAGTCATCAATATGAGCAGGTAGTCTTCGTTTCAAGAGATTGATTAAGCCTTGAGTAGATTCTTGTGTCGTTTTATTCAAAATATTAATTTTCGATTCTATTATTATTATTATTACTAAAATAAGTAAATTTATTATTTCTACTTCTTTCCTTTTGAGAATCCTTTATAAATATAAAAGGAACATAGTTTTATTATAATTCTAATTCTATATCATTCTAAATATTAATTATAAAGGTAACCTTATTATTAATTCGAGAAGAATACGAAAGACATAGTACTCACGATATTCGTAGGTCCTAAATGTCTATATTATATTCTGTCTAAAGAGCTAGCTAAGTATAGGAAGTTGTAGGCCTTATATAGACACTATAAGAAGAACTAGTCTCTTCCGATTTCACTTAGAGCTTACTATATTCCGCATTCGCTTATAACTATAATATAGTAGCTAATGAATTAAAGATATTCACTAGATCCTAGTAATTAATATTCATATACTTATCGTCCTTATTACTATTATTACTATTAGTATTTTGAGTTGTCTTAAAAGCTTTTCTTTTTTTTTAATTCTTTTAAATCTTTTATTTACTTTTTCTTCTTTCATAATTTTTAAATATAATATTTAAACATTTTTATTCGACTTTTGGATTTATTATTAGAATAATCAAATGATAAGGTATCAGAGTATTCGGTTTTTGATAATTTTTGATTTCTTTATTTTTAATCATTCTTTTTGTCTAATCTTTCTATTTTTATCTAGTACCTTACTACATTTAATTCTTTATATAACTAGAAAAGTAGTATATTCTTTTTTTTTCAATAATATTATTTAATTTTTATATGAGATATATAAGATATGGAAGAAGGTAAAATAAACGAATATAATTTTTATTTATTAATCGTATAAATTCTAATTATAAATATAAATTATCATTATTCATAAAAAGTATTTTTCATTTTGTTTTGAATTCAAAACTAGATGTTACGGAAGCTGCCTCTAGGGTCACGTAGAAGTGTCTAGAGATCTCTTGAGATGGTTTAGATTAAACTTCAAGTAGAAATTCAACAAGGTTATAATTAGTTGTAATTCTCATAACTATAATAATGAAACTAATGATTATTCTTGAGCATAAAGCTTTATATTATAATAAAACCCATTCCCTTATATAAACCTTCTTGCTTAGTGTGATTAATATGACTTAGTACTAGTTTGTTTGTACTTTCATGACTCAGTGTCTATCCCGCTGAGGCAGACTGAGCCAACCACGTGACTTAGTGCCCCAGTCCCGTGCCTATGTTGTGTCGTTCGTAACACTAGAATTCTTAATATAATACTATAAAATAATAAAAGTTATATTATTATTAATAAATTCTAATATTAAATAGAAAAACTTAAAATTAATTTTATATAAAATCCTTTTCTTTTATTATAATTAAAAAGAAGAAAGAAATTATTAATATTATTAATAACTTTAAAAATAGTAATAGAATGTTAATCTTTAGGACTAATAAAATAAAATTATTTAATTGATGTTTATTTATTTAAATATATTTAAAACTTATTTATCTTAAGAATATTATCTGAAATTAGAAACTATTATTTATATATATATTCAGCTTGAAATCTTATTTTATTAAAGTTAATAATTTATATTTTCTTTTTAATATTAAATAGTTTGAGGTATTGTTAATAATTTTTAAATTATTTATATAAAACCTATAACTCCTTGTAATTTAATTAGCTTTTTAAATAGAATATAATATAAATATTTAAGATTTATAAAATCGTAAATATTATATCTTTTATATCCTTTTCAAATTAATATTAATTAATAATATTATAAATTATTTAAATTATTTATTTGAATAATCTTTTACTTTTTACTTTTTATTTTTCTTACTTTTTTTGGTAATTATATTAAAAAAATTTAATATTTTTGAAAAAAGAGAGAATTTTAAATTAATAAAAAGATTAAAAACTTTTAGTATTTATAAATTATTGATTATAGTTAATTATAATAATGTATTTATTGAAGATGATTTATAAAATGAATTTAAAGAAAGAACTTTAATTTTAATTAAACTTTTTAAACTTTTAGTATTTATATTTTTAAGAGATTTATTAAAGACTAAAAATATATATAAAAGATTTAAATTTTATAATAATTATTAAAAGTATATTAAATTTTTTATTTAATATAAAATTGTTGAATATAAAGATAATAAATTTATTAATGTTAATCTATAAAAACTTATTTATAATAATTTTATATATTTTAATATTAAATATCTAAACAATATATAAAAGAGAATATTACTTTGTTTTTATAAATTACTTTATTAATATAATATAATATAATAATAATAATAATAATTTTATAATCGATTCAATCTATATAATTATATTAAGATTATATAATATACTTATATTTATATCTAATTGAATGAAGTAAATAGAAAAAAGATAGAAAAATCTATTCCTTTTTAATATTCTATTAAATCGCCTATATTATATATTTATTTTATTTAATATTTATAATTTGTAATACTTATATTTTTGAAGATAATATTGTTATGATTACTTTGTTTTCATTTTATAAGTTAATAATATATAGTCTATTTCCATTTAGTATAATGATGTAGATCATTCTTTTCCTTTAATATAGTATATATATTAATATTAAGATTGAAATTAAGAATATATTAATAAAAACTTTTTTTTACTTTAAGTATTACAAATAAATTAAAGATTAATTTCTTAAATATTAAATTAATAAAATATAATCTTTTATATTTACAAAATAAATTTTTCTTTTTATTAGGTTCGATTTAATATTATAAATTAATAAATCTTAAATTTATAAGAATATTATAAATAAATATCTTATTATTCTAAATAAATGTTTTATATATAGTTTTAGAAATATATATCTGATTATTCTAAAAGAAATATTATTATTAAAGAATTTATAAAGAATTGAATTAATAAGAAAATATAAAATAACTTTATTAAAACTTAATATTATTATATTATCAAATCTAAATAGTTTATTTGATAATAACAATTTTAATGATTTTGATAATAATTATAAAAATGATTGAGGAAATAATAAACATAATTATAATAGTAGAGATAATAAAGATTACAATCCTTATTTTAATTATAATAAAAACATAATTGATTATTGTAATTAGAACTATTATTTTATTAACCTTTTAAAGATATATAAAGATAATAATCTATATAAAGGTATTAATAATTCGTTTAATTTAAAGATTTTTATAGAATATTTATACTAATTAAAATGAATATAATTGCTTTTTTAATTATATCTTTTAAGTATAATTAAAGATTATTATTAAATAAATCTTAATAATTTTTCTAATTTATATTAAAGTTTATATAATATAATGGTTAATAATTTTAAGGAATTAAAATATTAACAAAATATATTATTGAAATAAAATAACATTTCATTTAAAATATATATTAAAAAGAACTCTAATATAAATCTTTAGGAAATATTTAATATTATAATTATAAATCTTTATTTTCTTTAGTATATTATTTTTATAATAATATGTAATTTTTAATTATATTATATTAAAATTTTATTTATATATAATAATATTTCGGAATGTTATAATATTATTTACAACCTTTATTTTAATATTATTAATTTTATAAATTAATTTAAATAAATAACTAATTTTCATTAAAAAATATTTTCAAAATAATATAACGTAACGTATGGGGAACTCGGACATATGGGGAACTCGGACACTTTTAGCCCATCACCAACTTGAAACCGCAATAACTTTTATTATGCATACCCAATCACCTTCTACATCTGCTCAAATTGAAGAGAAGCTTCAAAAGGCTATAATTTCACTTCAATTGAAAGAATTTAAATCAATTAGAAAGGCTGCAGAGCATTTTGAAGTCCCTAAGTCTACCCTAGCTGATAGGCTGGCTGGGAAGAAAACACGTTCCCAAACCCACGAAATGGCTCAAATTCTTTCAAACGCAGAAGAAAATACTCTTGTACGATGGATTTCACGACTTACCATCACTGGATTCCCTGCTACACCTATGTTGGTGAAGGAAATGGCCGACGAAATTCGTCTTCGACGCGTTCGGGTCGCGTCATCTCGAAATCCTACCTCGACAGAAATTCCACCTATAGGCCACGAATGGATCTATAGATTCCAAAAACGACATCCAGAACTTAAAACATGCTATTCACGTCAATTAGAGTCTAATCGGGCTAAAGAAGCAACTCCGGAGAATATTCAGGCTTGGTTTGACGCGTTTCGCACGCGTCTCATTGAGCGAAAGTATGAATTAGATGATATGTATAATATGGATGAAACCGGATTTGGAGTTGGAAGTACTCAAAGTACGCGCATTATAGTCGATTCTACTCAGAAATCGAATTGGAAAGTTACGGCTGGCAAGCAAGAATGGATAACTGCATTTGAATGTGTCAATGCAGCTGGAAATGCTCTATCACCTATGGTCATTTTCAAGGCTCAGAATACGAATTCTGCATGGATTCCAAAGGACACACCTCAAAGCTGGCAGTTCTCTACTAGTACAAATGGATGGACCTCAAATAGCCATGGATTAGAATGGTTAAAAAGGGTTTTCGAACCAGAATCCAAGAAAGTGTCAGGTGACCGACCTCGACTTTTGATCATGGATGGCCATTCAAGCCATATTACAGGTAGCTTTATTGCTTTCTGTATAGATAATGATATTGATTTACTTATATTACCTCCTCATTGCTCTCACTTGCTTCAGCCACTTGCTATTGCGGTGTATGGGCCAATGAAACGATATCATGCTTTAGAGGTCGATCGATATTCTCGAGCTGGTGTAAAGCGAATCCAAAGAGCTGAATGGGTAGAACTCTTTCAAAATATTAGAAAAAAAGCATTGAATTCTTCTAATATTAAAGCTGGCTGGAGAGGAGCTGGTTTAGTACCTTTTGCCCCACGAAAAGTACTCGATTCATTACCATTTAACTCCTCCCAGCAACCTTCTACTCCACAAATGAGAACCCCCAATCAAGACCTAGACTTGTCTATACTCAGGAGTTCTCCTCCAGATGGAACAGAACTAAGGCAAGCAAATCAGATCTTTAATACAGCTCTAGCAAGCAGTGG